GTCAATCACGGTTCATTTCTGTCGCCAGTCCAACTAGGCGGACCTTTCTTGTGTATTCACTGTGCACCACTGAGCGGCTGCTGCGCGTTAGTTGGTCGCTTCAACTGTCCTTTCCTCAGCTCTGCTCTCTCCAGTCCCCTCTACTAACCCTTCAAAGCCCTCCGCCATGACCTGCACTAAAGCCCAGCCTATTCCTTGCATGCCAGGACTTGTCGCGTTACCGGCTCTGTACTCAAGAAGACTGGCTGTCACTCTTAGCTACGCCGTGTCAAGAGTGCTAGCTTTCTTTCTTCGCTCCAAGATGGCTCCTTGAGACAGGGACCTTGAGCTCGAAAACTCTGTTTTGCGTTTGCCAGGGTTGGCCCCCTGGGCTGCGATCGCATTCCCCTTGCAAGGGCATATTTGAGCTCAAGACAGCCATTCTCACGGTTAGCGTCACTTAGAAACGTATAATGAAGCAACTCAGGGCTCGCCAATGGTCAAACATCGTGTTTACTGATTAATCCCTCATCGTACATGCATGCGGGCAGCTCTCCAGGGGTAGGAAGGTGAGCGGCCAGCTCTGACTTCTCGTTTTAGTCCACTTGACTTTCTCCTTGAGAAACCAGGTAGAGCCTCTCAGATGGTCTATTTTGGAGCCAGCCATGAAATTCAGATGCACCTAAAAAGCTCAACACCGGGGGGGGGGGTCCCGGACTAAATTTACATCCACTCCACACCCCCTTTCCAGAGTGGACCCAGATTTACCTCAGACGTCCGAGAATAACCCCAAAACTTTCGAAACTCACGTCACAAGATACTACTTGCTCAGGAATTCGGAAAGCACTCTTTTTTAGGAACTGTCGAAACTCAAATCTTGCAGCTTGCAGCAGGGCACCGGCTACCTGGATTTCTACCAAGCTGTGGTGTGTCTACAAAAATGGAAGGTTTTTTTGTTGTTTTTTTTTTTAGATTATGTTAAACCTTTTCCTCAACTTTTTAAATGTAAGGATGGCTCGCGGTTTCACAGGGAACATGACGAGACCGGTATTGGCATGCTTTTTTTTTTTTTTTTTCAAAAATTACAGAACTTGAGTTTTCCTCAGGGAACCTGGGGGGGGGAGGAGGGTGTGTGCGGCACCACCTTTCAAGATGACTTTGTAACTGTGGGAAAACTCACGAGCTGTTTGCGTCGACCCGCCATTTCTAAGTCGCTATATTTGCGGCAGGGGCTGGCAAAGCCCGCTTCTCTTCTCTCTCTTTCTCTCCCTTCTCCTCACCCTTTCCTGAAAAGCCCCACATCGCCCGGGTGAGAGAGAACATGGAACCGAGGCCGCGAGGCAGCGGAGGGGATGGGGGGAGGGGCCGTTCAGTCTGACAGGGAAGGAGCAGTTGCGAATTTTTCCGCTTTCCCCCTCACTCCCCAGCGTCAGAAAGTTACTTTGCGGAGCTGGAAGTGTGGGCGCCGCCGGCTGCACTTCCCACTTGGCCTGAGAGTCGGAGCCCACCGCGCAAGGGGTGAGGAACTTTCCGGCGCGGCGGCGGCGGCGATCAACCTGAGCGTCTGGTTTAGTCAGAGGAACGCGAAAAAGCCAGGCCCAAGGCACCGGTTGTCATGGGAACCGGGGCGCTGGTCTCTCCGCACCACCACCACCACCACCGCCCCTAGAGACCTCGTCCTCAGGATCTCTTGAGAAAGTCAGAGCTGGGACCCTAAATTCCCTACCCCCTGAGGCTGCCATGCATGCATGACGAATGAGGGAATTAATAGTAACGATTTACCATTGGCGAGCACTTGAGTTTTCATTATACCGTTTGCTAAGTGAGTAACCGTGATGGATGTCTTGAGTCAAAATATGCCTTGCAAGAAGAATGCGATCGCAGCACCAGGGGCCAAACACAATGGAAAACGCAAAACAGAATTTTCAGATAAGGTCCCTGTCCTCAAGGAGCCAATCTTGGAGTCTAAGAAAGAAAGCTAGCACTCTTGAAACGGGCGTAGCTAAGATGAACAGCCAGACTTTTGAGTACAGTAGCAGGTAAGAGAAAAGTCTGGCATGCAGAATAGGCTGGCTTTAGTCAGGTGATGGAGGAGGGCTTTGAAGGGTAGGTAGAGGGATGGAAGAAGCAGAGCTGAGGAAAGACAGTTGAGAGAAACAACAAAAAACTAAAGAGCAGCAGCAGGAATGAGTGGTGAAAGTGAATAACGAGAAGGTCAGCCTAGTTGGACTGGAGACAGAAATGAATGATGGGAGCCCCTTTTCCAGCCCTTCCCCCATTTTTCAGTGTTCTGGTTCATCTACCAGGGAGGTAGTAAGAAAGAGTGGGAGAGGCAGGCTTGAAAGAACAAAAACTTTCATGGAAAATCTGCCTCTGTTTGCCACCGAAAGAAAGTTTATGTCTTTATTGGAAAGAAAAGCAATATATATCTGTAATACCTGCTTGTGAATTCATGTTCAGAAAGAGGGTATAGAAAGTATAACATTGTAAATCTCTGCAAAAGTAGACACACCACAGTGTTGTAAGCTTTTTTTTTCTCTTTTTTCCTTGCATTTAAGGCCATTTCAGGTGGTTGCCCTCAAGGCTTTTTCGCTAGTAATCCCTTTGTTTTGGATGAACTGAAAGGCTGTTTTTAAAATAAAACCTGATAAAAGAGTCCACAAAAGAGAAATCTACGGGTTAATCTCCTTTTGGATATAATGTAAAAGTCAAAATAAAATACTAACAAATACCTAGAACCCAGCACCACAATACAAATGATATGCCAAAGTTAAGAGAAATTATTTCAGGTATCCAGTATAGGAATGATTCAATAGTAGACAAAATTTTCATATAGTTTACTATATTAATAGGTCAAAGAAGAAAAACGGCATAAGTGTCTCAATTGATGTGAAAAAGGATTTTGTCAAATCCAGCATAATTCCTCATTAAAATTAGAATTTGGAGCTGGGCACGATGAGAGGCCAAGGTGGGAGGATCTCTCAAGGTCAGGAGTTTGAAACCAGTAGAGACCCCGTCTCTACTAAAAATAGAAACAAATTAGTTGGCCAAGTGAAAATATATAGAGAAAATTAGTGGGGCATGGTGGCACATACCTGTAGTCCCAGCTACTCCGGTGGTTGAAGCAGAAGGATTGCTTGAGCCCAGGACTTTGAAGTTGCTGTCAGTTAGGCTGACGCCACGGCACTCTAGCCTGGGCAACGGAGTGAGACTCTGTCTCAAAAAAAAAAAAATTAGAATTTGCAATAGATATTTTAATATATATATGTTACACTAAAGCCAGCAACTTCCTTTATAATAAAACATTGTAATTATTCCCATTGAAATCAGGAACAAGAGTCAGATGGAGTGCTAAAAAAGAATTAGAAACAAGGCAGGAATGCTCACCAATCACATAGTAACAATGGAAATGATAGCCATTGCCAATTAGACATAAATAGACACAATTAATACTGAATAAAGATTGTCATTGTTTTATAAAATCAAGTCACTGCAAAACTTAGGAAGAAACACAGATGGAAGGTAGGTTAAATTTCATACAAACAAGAGCTTTCCCATTAAACCATAATCAATTAAATACTTAAGATCTTTTTTTCAGTTAAAATTTTGACTTTCACTTGTGCATATATTAAGGAAATAACAGAAAAGAATTTAATCAAGCCTCATGATTAGACAAAACCAAGACAAATTTAGTATGGTATGCGTCTCAATTCCCATTAACTTAAAAAAAAAAAAAAAGTCACTTACGTGCCTACAGGGTTATAAATGAAACTATAAACAAAAGGCCCAAATTTCACTTTAATTGTAAGACAAGTGTATTGAGTTTTACAAAAAGACATGTTTCACAAAAAAGACACCTGCACTCGATATATAGAGCCAATTGCAAGTGTGGACAGCCCATGTTCCTCTCCAAAGGTTAATTAAAACATTGGTATAGTACATGAGTCTATTCAGCTCTAAAACAATGGGGTGACGTATTTAATTTCTGTTAGAGCTGAACCCATTCCAACCATTATAAGGAGTTCAAAGAATGTTAAAAAACAACCAACCAATATCTCACAGCAATATTTAACTGAATAGCACCTTATGTCACTACTACCAGAATAGGGTATTGGGCAGAGTGGGAGGCGTTGGGTATAGACTAATGAAGTTGGATGGCATCTATCTTAGGGGATGGTATGCTGGAGACTCGATTGTGGGGGAAATGGTGATTTATGAAACTTTAAATCTGTACCCCTTATATCCGAATAAATAAAAATAAAAAATAAAGGGCATGTTTAACATGCATCCAAACAATGTTCAATATCATGTGGAATTTAACGTAATTCAACTGCTTTAACCCAAATACACTTACTGCTTAAGTACATCCTACAATATATAACTAACTTGAGAAAAGCTGGAACTTGTTTAACAGTTATACTTTACTCAACTTTGCTCTTACATCCTAGATGAATGTTCAAAAATACCCAACCTTAAATCTTTAAAACAATCCTGATTTCCACTTATAGAGTAAGCATAAATCATAAGCTTATATTGCAAAAAACTGTTAAACTGGTTTTGTTTTTCTTTTTTTTTTTTTATTTTTTTTTTTTTTTTTAAGACAACTGTAGAAGATGAATAGTTTTGTTTTTCTTAAAAAAAAAAGTTGACCAAGAGTCAGTGATCAGGATCAATTACATTTCCCGAAAGAATCTTATAATAACTTATAACCATAAAACATTATCTATTGAAAAAAGTCAAATATGATTTTTAATATGATCTGACTTCTGTTTAAAAGTACATATATTGCCAGGTGCAGTGGCTCACACCTGTAATCCTAGCACTCTGGGAGGCCCAGGTGGGAGGATAGCTTGAGCTCAGAAGTTTGAGACCAGCTTGAGCAAGAGTGAGACCCATCTTCACTAAAATAGAAAAATTACCTGAGCGTGGTGTCATGCACCTGTAGTCCCAGCTACTTGGGAGGCTGAGGCAGGAGAATTGCTTGAGCCCGGGAGTTTGAGGTTGCAATGAGCTATGATGACGCCACTGAACTCTAGTGTGAGTGACAGAGTGAGACTCAAAAATAAAAAATAAAATAAGAAAATTGGAAAGCTGGCACGAACACAAATTTAATGGGGCTCCAAGTGGCATATGGGGCCTCAGGATGTCATCACTTAGGGACCATCCTGTGACACACGCTAAGTCAGGAATATTTTATGTGGGATTCATAGGCCACCCCATAATGGACCCCCAACACAGTATTCCAAGGATGTGTTTGTGCTTTTTTCTAGGGAAGGCATCACTACTTTTTTTTTTTTTCTTTTTAAAGGAAGGGTCTCAGTATGTTTCTTAGACTTGAATGCAGTGGCTATTCTCAGATGCAATCATAGTGCACTGAGGCCTTGAACCTCCTGATCCTCTGCCTCAGCCTCCCTAGAAGCTGGGACTACAGATCCACACCACTACATCTTGCTTCATCCATGTTTTGATAAATTCACCAAGAGATCCATATCTCTCTAACGTGTTAAGATTGTGGGCTGGGTGCTGTGGCTCAGGTCTGTAATCCTAGCACTCTGGGAGGTCAAGGCGGGCAGATTGCTCAAGGTCAGGAGTTGGAAACCTGAGTTGGAACTGAGCAAGAGCAAGACCCAGTTTCTACTAAAAAATAGAAATAAATTAATTGGCCAACTAAAAATGCATAGAAAAAATTAGCCGGGCATGGTGGCGCATGCCTGTAGTCCCAGCTACTTGGGAGGCTGAGGCAGGAGGATTGCTTGAGCCCAGGACTTTGGGGTTGCTGTGAGCTAGGCTGATGCCACGGCACTCTAGCCTGGGCAACAGACAGAGACTCTGTCCAAAAAAAAAAAAAAAATTGTGTATTTTAAATGCCAATGATTTTAAAGTACCATCTTTTATCTCAAAGGCTCAAATGAATTCTGGGCTACTCTAAATCTGTAAATAGTAATGTTTTCCCAGCTGGCTTCTTGTGTTCATCTCAATGTGAAATGTTTGTATTTTGGCTTTTACCAACTATGTTAGTGTTTTTCCCTTACTCTAAAGCCAGAAACACATTATCCTTTCTTGCTTGCAGAGTAAGAACTGTGATGGGAACTTTGCCCAGGCGAGAAGCAGAAGCAAGATAAGTCATCCACCAAAACATGAGCAGGTAATTGGAGCACAAACTCTGACAGTGCTTAAGGAAGACTTTGTGAGGCAATACTAACACTTCCAAGTTAACCGAGAATTAGCTAGGGGAAAAAAAAAAACCCAGTGATGAAAACCAGATAGCACTACAATTACCTTCATTGAAGAAACCCTCCATTGAATAAACAGGTGGGTTTTTTTTTTTTTTGGTAGTTTTTAAAAATTTGAGAATTCCCCTGGGATGTGGCATTACATGACAGCAATAGCACAGATAGCTCTAAACATTTGGAGGCAGCCTGGTTGCTCAGTACATTGAAAAGAGCATTGCATTTGCATTCAGAAGACCTTAGTACAAATCTTGGCAAGCCAACCTAACTTCTTTGATCATCTTCCTCATTTATAAAGTGACAGAAATAAGAATAGCTAATACGTTCCATACTTGACAGCCTGTAGTGTTCTTTCAGTATTCAGCAGGATCAAATGAAATATGTGTTTGAAAGCTGTATGCTTTAAAGCACTGTTTTAAAAAATTAAACAACAGAAACAAAAAACTATATGGGTTTTTGGAATTAGTGAATGTTTTAGACCTCAGAAAATGTTTGAAAATAATCTCTTTCATTCTGAAGATAAACTTTGGAAACTATTTCTTTGGTACCAGGACTAGCTAGCCCCATGAAATATTAAGTCAGAAAAAGTCAAGTATGGTGCTCCTATTAATTTCTACTTTCCTTTGCTAAGCTACTTTCTTTTGATACTTAGCTCATTTCCACTCCACCTCCCCTTCTTCCCCGTCCCCACACTGACAAGGGCTATTAGGGCTAGTTAATTAGGGCTAGTTATTAATAGTTAGGGCTGGCTACATGTTAGGCTAAAAGCAGTCACCTATTCCTACTTGATTTGCCAGATGCTTTGAGGCTCTATCTGAACCAAAACGTTTCCCTCACCTAAATTCCTTGGCTGGAAATTCTCACTTTTAGTCATTAATGAGTTAAACTGCAAAGGTGTTTATCTTTAAAAGGTCTTAGTTAAAATTCACTTTGCCTTCTAACTTTCTCTCTTAACACATTAATGTGGATTGTTTATCAGATTAGGTTAGTTGTCACTTTAAACCCTGAGGGAGAGAGATACTGGAGCAGCAAATTTTAATTAATGAAAGGGAAGGAGGAAAGAGGGGAAGTCAGTTTCGGTGATGAGTGGAAGAGAGAGAGAAAGAGAGAGGAATTTGGTGGGAGGAGAGGTATGTGGCATGAAGGTGACCCTCAGGGCTGATGATACCAAGGGAGGGGATCAGGGAAGTAAATGTAGTACTGAAGGGGTGTGGCACTGAAGTCAAACTGCCTAATTCACAATTTTTACTAGGGTTGGTCCTGTCTCTGACTCATTCCTACTACTTGTCCTGGCAAGTTATGTAACTGCCTATTCAATTTGGTTGACGGCGGTAAGGCAAATAAGCACAACCTTTCTGGTTTTTGAAACAGAGCCATGTTAGAACATACACCTAAGTAATTTAATATGAATATGCTCTAATCCTGACCCACAGGGACATGCCTTGGGGTTCGTGGCTGCTAATCTTGATTTTTCAGAAGGGTTCCCAGAAGTGGAGACCAAGATAGAAGTTAAACTTTCTAATTTATGTTGTTTGAAAAACAGTGATTTCACACTGTCTGGTGGGAGCGAACTGCTGTGCAAGAAAATCAATCATTAAAAGTTTTTTTAGATGGAGTTGGAGAGTTCAATAAAACAAGGCATCATTTTGAAAAAAAATTGTTTATAGTTTATTATTGCCTTAATTTTTACATTTCCCTCTATAATGTCTAATAGAAAACTTAGAAGGAAAATGATATTCTCTACAGAGACTAGCTATCAGTTTAAGGCCAAATCCAGACTTAAGATATTCACATTAAAAGGAGAAATGCTGAACTTGCCACATTTGACAGTAACATGAAGAGAGGCAATTTTTCTTAGAGAGTTGAAACTCTTAGGATGAGTAGTTCTTCAGCTACTCTAAAAAGTTAAAATAGAGAACTATAAAATATTATATGTATATGACTCAAGCATTTTATTTTTACTAAAAACCTATCATTATACAATCATTAGCCAATCTTTTGATGCTGTGCCAAGGCCATGCATCTGCTGTTGAGAGTTCTAGGTTGTTTTTTTATATAAATACGTCTCATAATGCAAAATCAACAATTTTTTGGTTTTTGTTAAAGAAAACGTGTAACTTGAGGACACTTGTGAAACAATATGAGTTTAGAATGCTTCTGTATTTATATAATATATTCCAGTTTTCTTGCCATGGTCATTTGTGGCAATAATTTGTCTTTTAACTTTATTTTTTTAATTGTGGTAAAATATACATAACAAAATTTACCACTTTACCCATTTTAAGTATCAATTTTATTTTTGATAGGAAAAAATATCATTTTCACTTACACTTAATAAAGTATATAAAATTTAAGTTACCTAATTACATTAGCAAGAATAATTTGTTAAGAGTTTGGGAAACTAAAACAAATGATTTTTATGTAAGCTTTATAAGGACAGGAATTTTGTCTGTTCTGTTTATTGACTGCTGTGCTTCCAGTTCCTAGAACAGTGCCCGTCACATAGTAGGCACTCAAACACTATTAAGGGAATGATTGAATGGCTCTTGGTAGTTATAACTCAGCTAGAGGTAACATAAGTATGCAGGTATACTATGATATAGCCCATTCGTTTTTTGGTTTTTGCTCTGTTTTGTTTTCGAGACAGTGTCTTGCTCTGTCATTCGGGCTAGAGTGCAGTGGCATGATCTTAACTCACTGCAACCTCACAATACTGGGCTCAAATGATCCTCCTGCCTCAGCCTCCTGAGTAGCTGGGACTACAGGTGTGCACTACCACACCTGGCTAATGTTTCTATTTTTTTGTAGAGATGGGGTCTTGCTCTTGCTCAGGTTTGTCTTGACATAACCCATTTGTAAATGTTTAGATGCTATGGGCATCAGTGTGTTTTATAGAGGAATGGAGAGCATTGGTTAATCTAATGGTTTAAGTGGAGATAATTTAATAGAGCTTTGATTTTATTTGGAAAAAATCTGTAGTGCTTAGCACAATATCCTACATACAAAAAGTATTCAGTAAATATTAATCTTTGTTAATTTGTTGGTTGATGTTTTTGTTCTTGTTACTTTACTGAGGAAGGGAGAGAGAGAAAGAAAGGGGGCTGATAAAAAGGTTGAAAGAAGTAAAGAAGGGAAAGCATCAGGGAAGAGTGAAGTGAAGACATATTAATATTTTGCACAGAGTCTTGGAGTATGGAGGGGAAAAGAGACTACCCTTCCAACAAAACAGTTACTAAACTATGTTGTTAATATGAACTCAAAGAAGAATAAACTTTATTCCCTTTGATCAAAGAATATACTCCCGATTATTCAAGTTTCAATAAGCATTCTCTTGCTTTGTTGTTGTTTGAATGATCCTTCTCTCTCTTGTCCAGTTCTCTTAATGGGAAAGTCTCCTCAATACCACCAATGGCAACTTGAATTGGATGAAGAGTTAAATCATATGTTAGCCAAAAAAATCACTTTCTTTGTAGCCTTCAACAGGTTGGGCAGCTTGGGCTATGAACTAGAGTTTAGTTATATTAACAATGCAAATTTAGCCCCATCTGCTCTCACAGGACCTCCAGACTCCTGAAAATTTCTTACCTACTACCAGAATTTCCAGGATTCTCCAAGAGCTATTTCACTGTACAGTCTGTCTTTGTTAAACACTTAAACCTTCTCTAAAAGTCTGATGCCTGAACATCGCTTGCAGTAGGGTTGCCTGTCACTTCCACTGCTGCTGATACCCTCCATGAAAGGCTCTCTGTTGGTGTTTTGAGGATTGTCTCTCAGTGATCCCCAAATGGCACCCTGAAGAGTCAGAGCTGGGCTGGCTTGAACTGCAGCAGTGAGGCCATCACTGTGTCATACTTTGTCACGTGGTTCTTGAGGCAGCACTGATTGTATTCATTATATCACAAAGTCTCTGATGAAATTAACCACTTTATGTGGATGGAAGTGAAGGACAATATTCACCATGCCATACCTTTATTATCATCACCCTGTACACACACATGCATGCATACATACAACACACACATTCATTCCCTGTCCTTCAACCAAAAGTAAGAGCACTTCTCTGCATAAACTCATTCAAATAAATGTTTTGAGAGATCAATAGCCCTTTCTTTCAGCAAACAGCCAGGCTCTGATCATCAGAATATTGCAGGGGGTTAGAGGGTGGGTACCATTCCCCTTAATTAAGATAAGAGAGATATCTTTTATTTACAGCCTGTCACCTACTTTGGGCATCTGATCATGTTTTCTCAGTAGCATATGAACTCTTTTAGGGCAATGCAGAAAGACTGCTGGCTCCAAGTAAAAGAATATCTGATAAGCAGTGGCTAACAAAGAAAGAGTTATTTTCTCACATAAGAAACTAGGCGGGGCCTGGCACGGTGGCTCACACCTATAATTCTAGCACTCTGGGAGGCCAAGGCTGGTGGATCCTTTGAGCTCAGGAGTTCGAGACCAGCCTGAAGAGCCAGAGCCCGTCTCTACTAAAAAAAAAAATGGAAAGAAATTATCTGGACAACTTAAAATATATAGAAAAAAATTAGCTGGGCATGGTGGTGCATGCCTGTAGTCCCAGCTACTCGGGAGGCTGAGGCAGGAGGATCGCCTGAGCCCAGGAGTTAGTTGGAGGTTGCTATAACCTAGGCTGACACCACAGCGCTCTAGCCTGGGCAACAGAGTGAGACTCTGTCTCAAGAAAAAAAAAAAAGAAAAAAGAAAAAAAGAAACTAGGTGGTAGGCAGCTGCTCCTGATGATGCAGTAGCTCAACAACATAAATTAAATTTTATATAAAGTGAATTGGTTTCTCAGCTACTATAGAAAGTTTTCTGTCAAATCACTAGTTTTCCAGGGTTCATTGGTTTAGTTCCCAATTTCTGTTTGATGGTCATCAGTGCCAGGCCACTGCCTCTCTCTTTT